CGCCTTCCTAGGGAGGTGTTCCGGGCATGTCCCACCGGGAGGAGGCCCCGGGGAAGACCCAGGACACGCTGGAGGGACTATGTCTCTCGGCTGGCCTGGGAACGCCTCTGCATTCCCTCGGAGGAGCTGGAGGAAGTGTTTGGAGAGAGGGAAGTCTGGGCATCTTTGCTTAGACTGCTGCGCCCGCGACTCGGTCCCGGATAAGCGGAAGAAAATGGATGGATGGATGGGTTATGTCAACATGACATGGAGAAACCAAAACATTCAAGCAATTCCAGCCCGATATCTAAATTTCATCCATACAGCTGTACTCGGTGGCATAATTTCCACCCTCATTTTTGCAGTTTCAGTTTCATTTGCTTGCTAAAATACACCTGAACATTGTGACCTGACTGTCTAGCTGCAAGAATTTGTTTGAGAGGAAAAAGGATCTGACAAAACTATTGATAAGCTTATCTGAGTCAGCTCCAACTATCACCATGCACTCATTGCTGTTAATGGATGTGACTTCATTTGCTTTGGTCTGCTTTCACTTACTGGTAATATTTTTGCTAAAGCCAACTAAAATTGGGCAGCAATCAAATATTTTTTATACCTTAAAGTATTAGGTGTCTATTAAGAAAAGTAAATGTTTTTTGTTTATGTTTTTTTTTTTTTAACACTTTTGCAGAGCAGTGTTTGTTCCAAAATCTTCAGACAACTCATAATTAAATGTGATGGACATGTTCCTCAGCACAGCGCTGGTCAGTTTGGCTTGACAGTACCAAGGACAGTCTGTGTTTGAGGTATTAAACATTTACAACAAGCAGTTTGCTCCTACTTGTGATTCACGTCCCTGTTAATCCTTCTATGTACCTCAACCTGTAGTGATACCTCTCTACATAAACACCTGACCACCCCTCCATCACCACATATACATGACATAGACACAAAAAACTGAACAATAAATCTTTGTTTTGAATATTGTGTTTACACTATGTATCTGAAACGGGTGTTGGCACAGTTGTATCTGATGTAAGACTGAGAAATCCAAGAGGCGATAGCATCTAGTGGTTTAATGGCACTTGAAACTGGTTTGGACCAGCTGTAGCTGATCATTTTCTTTGAGCAGATGGTTGTCAAGACATTGCAGTCAAATTCAGTGATATCTTTGAGAAGATAAAGAATCAGGTTGTTCAACTCTCACCTAGCTTGTCAGTGATTCATCCTGAATAAACCCAAACACCATGACTGTGTGTCTGTTCTGGCCTTGATGCACGTAATCAGCATAAAAACAGTTACCCGTGGTACACACAAGCACAAGCAACTCTCTTCTACTACAGTTTGTACCTGGAGACAGTTGCATACAGATGATTGCAGGCTGTGGTGTCTGTCCTGACTCCTGCACTGTAGTAAAACCAGAACCAGTCAGAGCAAGAGGTCCATGTGTGCTCCTGCAGGTAGTATTTGAGATATGGTCATTTTGTTGTAGATAAAGCAGAACACAAAGTTGTTGAAGTAGTTCTTCATTTGAGTCGCCTGAAGTCAGCTGCAGTTGTGTGGATCACCTCTTGTCTTTCTGGAATGAGTGTGTGTTAAGGCCGTGACAAGTAATAAGGATGAGTCAGCCTTTGACAGACAGAGTAATGACCCCCCCATTCTGAGACATGGAGATGGTTTTAGTAGATCAGATTCATAACAAATTGCAGCTCTTTGTATACATTTTTTTGTTTTGCTTTTCAGCTAAAAACTCTTTTGTCATTCTGAAGCTAGAGTAAAGTGGTCAGAGAAATAGTTTGGGAAATAAAAGACTTGAGAATGATATCGTTCTTTTATTTGTCTATTTGAAGCTACAATTTAGGAGACAGTTAGCGTAACTTAGCATAAAGACTGGAAATGGGTAGCAAAATGCACCTACTAGCACCTTATAAGCTCACTAATGGGCATGTTATGTTTTTTGTTAATTGTTCTGTCCATGACTGACTAGAGCATAGTTGCTGTAGTTCTCCTTTTCACTCTGTTTAGCCACATATGGGGGAATGAAATACTGAGTCACACAGTGTATTGTTTAGTGCCAAAAGATTTAAGAAATATTTTTACTCTTAATAGTAAATCAAAAGACTTTTAATGTGAAAGACTAGTTCATAGCACCAAACCCACTGAGAGTCAACATAGCCCTTTGCTACTTGTAGTAGCAATGTTTGTGTTGTTGTTTTTGCATATGGCTGATTTCCAAAAACGTTCTCACTAACATCACTATATCTGGAAGATATTTGGACAAAGTCAGAGCTAAAATGTGAATATTGGACTTGGATGGATGGGAATTTTAACTCGTCTCCTGGTTATGGTACAACTTAACCTGTCACATCTTGATAAGCTGATGATATCTGAGGACTGCATTTCTATGACTTTGGTCAGGAAATTAGTAACAATTTATTGTTTAGCCATTTTCCCACTCCTATGTCTGAGGCATTAAGAGACAACAACACATGTAGTAGCAGGAATTGAGCAAGCAGTGTGACAACTTCAGTCATGTCTCTGGTTATTTCTTTCTTTTGCCTCCACTGTCCATGTTCCTGCACTGTTTTGTTTTCAGCCTCTATGCCTCAACAGCAGAGTTTCTAAAACCACAGGGCTATGGCTGAATGCCACAAAGGCTCTTTAGCTCAAAGCTGCAGAGCTTTACATCACACATTTACAACCCTTCCACAGTCTATATGATCTTCACACTGTACAATCATGTTTTACAGCTCCATCTCAAATTACACAGTGATGATTTTCTCCCAGTTGTGCACATCTGTTGGACCTTTCTTGATGGGCTATTTGAAATGAACCAAGTCAGCATTGAGTGTTGAAGAGAGAGCATGAGCTTGTTTTTGTAATGTTGAAATAATCTTTCAAATGAGTACTGTTTTCCTGAGTGAAATGAGGAGGTTTGAGGAGCAAATGGAGTGTAAAGGATGTGATGCTCAACACTGACTTCTCTCTTTCTCTCTCTCTCTCTCTCTCTCTCTCTCTCTCTCTCTCCCTCTCTTTGTTTTCCAGGTTAGCTTTATATGTGTATGAGTATTTGCTGCATGTCGGCGCACAGAAATCAGCACAGACCTTCCTGTCAGAGGTAAGAAATTCTTTCAGTTTGGCTTCCTGTTCATAAAGGGGGCGAGTGATTCCCCCTCTGTTGTACGACCAGGAATGGAATTCACATTATAGGTTGTCCTGGGTTCAGGCAGCTGTTGAGTAATCTTACCACAAGTCAGGGTTTGGGCTTTGAAAGCTGCAACAGTATTTATACCTTCATGAGCTAAAGCCAGTTTTTCTTTCTTTATTTATTTTTTTTATACACAGTTACTGAACAACAGCAATGTTGACCATTTAGTAATTTGGAACAATGTAAACATGGCATCACTGGGCTACTTAATGTGATTACCCGCCCTTCATTATTAGTTCTAATTTGTAATCATAAACTCTGTATAATTAGAGCATTTTGATGTATTGGAAGCTTGTGCTGCTGCTCCCTCTCTGCTATGACATTTTGAAAACAAAGCCAGTCTTTGCAAAGTTATACCGAGTGTACCTTTAGCATTTGAAACCATTCCAAACATAACCATTCGTCCCAGGTCTGCCAGACCTATTGGTCTCATATTAGGCAGATGAACAGTTGAAGAGGTAAGGCCTCTAATGTGTTGCATCCTCTTCCTTAATGGACATCCTTCCTGCTAATGGTCCTATGTCCAGGCCTTCTCCACTACAACACCTCTCCTGCCCATTGCCTTTATTCAGCTCCACTTAATGCACTCCCAGCACTGAGAGAGGGCTTTAATGGCAAGAAGAGGCAGGTCTCTATCATTCAACTTTAATACTGACATTATTATTATCATTTCATCAGTTGAGCTTGGTGAAGAGTCACATAGAGATACTGTTGCACCAAAATGATCTCACAGATGTGTGCACACAATGCACACACCCACAAGTGAGAGTCTAGAAACTTAAATGGTTTAAAGGGTAACTACACACTCATATTCTGCTCTCCCAGCATATTTAAAATATGCAGCAGAGAAGTGAGGGAGCATCGCTACGTAGTGTGTGACGTGGAGGGTCAGGAGTCACGTGGGACACTGACCACTGCTCAAAGTGTAGCACAGATAGAGTCGGAGCTAACAGCCATCTGCGGTCGGACTTTCCCTTTCTCTGCTGGAGAGATGGGGAGTCTGGTGGAGCTTTGACAGTACAAAAATGATTATGTCACTGTGAGAAAGGCTCTCTGGTGTGCGTGTCTCTCATTAGGGGCAATGCCAGTAATGTAGCACTGTTGTTTCTCATAGTTAAAGCTACTGTTTGTCAGCCCCATTGACTGTATATATCATATATATGATATATACAGTATATGATGGACACTACTATGCAAAAATGAAGGTATAAATCCTTGTTCTAAGTGTTTTTCAAATGCAGTTTGATGAAATTAAAATGAGTTGCACCTCACAAAATACTGGGATTATTTGTTAGTAAATATGTAGACTCAATAACTGATAAAGTAGAAAAAATAAATCAGAAAATACAGAAACTTGTTATAAATCACCCTCACTGGACCATGGATGCATCAGTCAGGCAGAAATTGGTTGCCTTTGCTTATAGTGTGCAGTCAGGCAGTAGGGCGGACAGAACTGCTGGAGGCCAACGCAGCTGCCAGCAACCAGGAGCGGATATCTAAAATATGAAGCAGAGATGGGGGAGTAACACAGAGAGATTAAGTGGTCAGGCTGTGGAGAGCCTTGCTGATTTCAGATCCCTTTTGGATGAATCTTCTCCCAGAGATTGAGTGTTATTGGTGAGATGCTTGAAAGAGGTGAAGTCCTGGGTCGTAGGCAACCGGAGGCTCACAGACATAGCTTCACATTCACTTAGATGGAATCAAAACAACATCAACACAGACAATGACTAAAACAACATACGTGCAGACACACACAAACAGTCCAGACCATTGAGTCAATTTGATGCCAGTTGTATAAAAATGTTGTGCCTGCAACATATTGCTTAATGATTTTGTTTATTTCGACCACAGCTTTGTTTTTATTTAGTTGTCTTATATGGCCAGAGTCAGTGTATTTGGATTAGCCTGACAGTAATGGGTACATCTGAGCAAACACTGCAACTTGACCTTTCACCTTTCCTGCCTCATGTAGTTCTGGCAGTAGGCTTAAAGTGTTGAGGGATTTCTTGTGAGTATTTGAAGAATGGGTGCAAACAGACGTGATTTGTTATACTTATCTACATCACTCAGCATCAAATGTGTGCTTTAGCACTCACTCGTTCTCTGGCTCTTCTTGAAGCACACAAGACCTAATCGTCCTCTCCCAGCTTTTATTTTTTCCACATCTTCCTTTCTCCTACGGTTTGATCACCCTCCCTTCGCCCTGTTCTCTTCACTCTTTACCGACTCCTTGTCCCTCCATTCTCCTGCTCCTTCCTCCTCATGATGGTGGAGCTCAATGCAATTTGTCTCAAGAAATCACAAGCAAATGGAGAAGATACCTTCAGCACTTTTAGAACACATATGTCATTAAGAAAAATGCTAACAGCAAATAAGAAAATTGAGAAAAGTTTTCAAAAGTAAGATGGCAGGCATGAATATAGCGGTACAAAGAAGGAATATACAAGTAAATCCAGACTTGAATCAATGTGATGCTTCATTCCTTTTGGGAAAAAAAAGATTGAAATCTCTGGAAAAGTGAACATAACCACTGAGCTAATGCTGGGAGGACAGCCAGTGCATTCAGTCATGTTTGAAATCAGCAATAGAATTATAAAACTAAAATAAACATGTTTTTTATTGTCATTTTACAGCAGTTAAAGAGTCACTGGCTACACAATATCATTCTAATTTTGTCCCATAACGTTATTTAGTTGTAACGCCATTGTTTTGTGTGATTTTACTGTTTCTGTATTTCAATTCATGTATTTATTAATTTGTTTGCATTTTTTATACCCCCCCCAAATCCAGTATGTGCTCTTTCGGGGCTGAAATGTTTCTCTTGCAGTGTGCTGAGATCTGTAGATCATAGTGTCCATCTTCACACAGTTACATACACCGAAAAACACACACAAATGTTTTAGTAGATAAGGGACTTCTATTCCCGCAGGTAGACTGAAGACACACACACCTGCTCCGTGCCATCTAATGAGAACACTATCACCTGGACTCTTCTGCCTCAATTAGCCTCTGTTCCTCCTTCAGCGAGAAGCCCACAAACACACACTCTCACCTTTATATGCACAATACACTTCTGTCCCTGAAAGGACTTTGCCACTCTGTGCTCTCCTGTACAGTGCGGCACTCAGCTCTTTATTAGCATTAAATCAACAGGGCCACAACCACATGTGGCACATCACAATCACTGTAAACTGCACTGGAGAAATCTGTAGAAACCAGCTTGGATCTCTTTGTGTGTGTGTGTGTGTGTGTATGTATGTATGTATGTGTGTATGTATAGTACACACAGTTCTGTGTGCACAGTTCTACTGTCATGCTGTCCTCACAGGCTCGGGCGAACCATCCCTCAGACTGTATGTACTGTATGTACGCACAGAGCACTGAATCTGTGTGTGTTTGTGTGTGGAGTCATGTCATTAGTTTGGAGTGTGTGAAGCAGGCAGCAGGTCTGCTATCTTCCACTGGATCTTATCTCAGTGTCCAGATACAAGCAGGAGCTCTGTGGGTTTCTGAAGGCAGTAGAGAGGGCTACTTCTTCAAGACAGTCCCAGTATCTTATCCTCAAACTCAGCGCTGCACTGCACTGCACTGCACTTCACTGCCCGTTGGCCTAATTTTTTGTTCAAATTTCACTGTCTGTCTAAAGTTGGGAGGACAGCTGAGTAAAATGATTAGGTTATGCATAAAATATGCCACAGTGTCTAATTTTTTATTTCCCTTGTCTGTCTTCTCCCCTCAATCCTCATCCTCTGTCCCACTCCTCTCTCTTAGATCCGATGGGAGAAGAATATCACACTTGGGGAACCTCCAGGATTTTTACACTCATGGTGGTGGTATGTATACACTGGTTTTCTCGCTCTTCCTCTTTCTCGACCACACACAAACACACGTTTTTTCAGGACTCTCGGTGGTTTGAAAGAATGCACAGGGGTGAGGGGGGAACAGTAACTACGGGGAAGTGCATCATCTCACACATGGTTAAGTGATGTACTTCTGGCGTCGCTCTGACTGACAAGTGAGCTAACTTCCCTTGTTCAGTTTGTTTAATCAAATTCAAAGTCGGGGACAGATTCTCTCTTACTGGAGTTTTCAGACTCTGGCTGTGCCCTCCCCAACACATCCCTCCCCCACCAACTTTTGCAGCTCGAGTTCTCATGATGCTTCAGGAAAGGTAAATGGGAAGGGCCTTTATTTAAAGTGACTGAACTACCTCTATGACCTCCTCTTCTGCTGCTGCAACTGTTGGTCATGTTGAACTGGTCAGACTACAATAATTAACAGTAGTTTTTAGAGCACCATGATGCATCTGTCACTGTTAATATGAAAATCTCTGCTCCAAGGTTTTGAGACTTTGTTTAAGTTGCACAAGACCAGCATTTAACAAAACAAGACTTCAGTTGTCCAACTTTTCTTTTGCCTTCTTTAAACAAATCTGAGAGTTATGTAAATGCTAAACATACAGGGGACAGTGTTTTCTATCTGGCTCGAAGAACCGGGTCAGCGGGTCTTTTTCTCTATGTCTGAATGAGAGAGAATGGGAAACTCACATGTAGGATGCCCCCCTTTCCATTTGTCAGGCTGAGACATAGCAAATCCAACTTTAAGGTGAAAAAGGAGGAAGAGGGGCAGTAAGGACAAAACTGGACAGCTGGAAAGGATGTAGACAAAGAATCAAGCAGGCAGACAGGCAGGGAGATTGAGAAGCTGAACCCTCACCAAGACAGCATGAGAGGCAGAGAGAGGTGGGATAAAAGGTTTGACAGTGCCTGCTTTGATTGTCATTCATGCTATCCTGCTCATCCCTAAAGCCCCCCCCCAGTGTAATAAACCCGGACATACGGCTTCATTCATTCATCCTCTCTGGCCCCAGTGTGTGTTGTAATCGTGCAGCCTGTTGACATGGCTCATAATGGTCCTTAAAGAGCCTGGCTTCTCTCAACCTGACAGTTCTCAATTGGACAGCTACCAGTAATACTGACAGAATGACATACACAAACATACAGTGCAGCATAAGTTTGCTCCCGCCTCTGCCCAAACCACTAAGAGGGTTCAGTGAGACTGGCAGTGTGTGTGTTTGTGTGTGTGTGTGTTTGTGTGTATGAAAGTGGGAAATATAGAGGGAAACTGAGAGCTCGTGTCTAGTGTGTGTTCTGACTGAACTGATATGTTTCAGCAGAGTGTGGTAGTTGACCCTGTGTGTGTGTGTGTGTGTGTGTGTGTGTGTGTGTGTGTGTGTGCGCCAGAGAGCAGTTGGAGAACAGGCTGATGGTTAGCCAGACAGAGCAAGGCAGGGCTCCGGTGTAGTATGACCAGCTGTAGCTGAGGGGAATATCCATCTGGGCCACTCAGCACATGGACACGGAGACTCACTGTTGGGGGGGGGGTCCAGGGGTTGGCTGCTGAAGGAGGAGGGGACTCAGTCCCCTGCCCATCCCAACGACACCCAGCAAACCCCCCTCCAGCCTCCCCCCAAAACAAAAGCTCCAGATGGTAGGAAAGCCACCAACCTCCCTCGTCCCTCATCCTTTGTCTAGAGGCCTGTCCCTTTGTTTGCGGAAGAGAGACCCCTGAACGGATTAACTCTTTGCATTCCAGCCTCTTTGTGTTAAACAGCCAAATCTAAGACCCCGACTCCACCACCACCCAGTCCGACCCCCACTGTCATGTCCTCAGCAACTCACTGGGGTTTTCTTCTCTCCTGCTCCTGCTTCTGTGGCTGTTTCCTGTAGGATGGTGTTGGTGGGTGGTGGGGCTTCAGAATAAGACCATGGCTGTAAGAGGGGGAGGGAGAGGGATGCTGTGAGAGACACAGGGAGGCTGGTGGTTGGGGTCACTCATTCACATCTGTTGTCATGAGTGGAAAGATAAAGAAAAGCTCAGTGAGGGCTGCAGGTGTTGATTGTGTCATTAGCTCCCTCTCGATTGGCTGCTGCCTTTTGTCTCCTCCTTATCCCAAAATCGATTTCTTTAACCAGTTTTCACTGGATGGTCGCCCAATCCTCAATACACACCCCAATACAAAACATACACAGCACAACAGTATGTAGAGGGATCTTCTGTGCGATAGCCTCTAGCTGAAATTCCTGTTTGTGAGAGGCAGAGAAACGAGTGAGAGTACAGCCGCCCTCCTCTCCTGATTATTTGGACTGCTCTTTATAAAGTTTTCTTTAACTTTCTCCTTCTAACTACTTGTCTAATGCATCCTTGTTTCCTCATATTGTGTCATTCAAAATCAGAATGCAAACAGTCGAGCATTAAAACCCAAGTGGCAACCTCTGAGGATGAGAAATGAAGCCAATGTAGAAGTGAAAAAACCTGCAGTTCCCTGAACGGCCACTTGAGGCTGGCTCCAAAAGGGCGCTAATCCATAGACTCTCATGGCATTCATTCATTCATTTTCTCCCGCTTAGTCCCTGAACGGGGTCACGGGGGGGGGGGCCGGAGCCAATCCCGGCCGGCAATCGGGCAAAGGCGGGGTACACCCTGGACAGGTCGCCAATCCATCGCAGGGCTAGCATGACGAACAACCACACACACGCACTCCTATGGGCAATTTAGAGACACCAATCAACCTAAGCTGCATTTCTTTGGACTGTGGGAGGAAGACGGAGTACCCGGAGAGAACCCACGCAAGCACGGGAAGAACATGCAAACTCCACACAGAAAGGTCCCAGGTGGGGCCCGAACCCGGAACCGTGCTGCCCTACTCTCATGGTAAATTGCCCAAATTTACAGCAGAAATAAACATGTTTACAGACAGATACAAACAATGGTGCTAATTTAATTTTTCCTTCCATGACAACTGTATGAGGGGAAATTTTTTTTTTTTTATAACTCGCCCGTTTAAATTATATTGAGACTAAAATGTACACATTAATTGAGGGTGTGGCCACTTTGAGGGACAGGTGGTTCCCACTATAGGTGGCTAGCCACTAGCTGTCTAGAAAGCTCCACTCACGCTCCGCGCCTTTGCCCATTTTTTGATTTGACCTAACAGGTGGAGCGAAGCACCACTATTATGGCAGTGGCCAGACTTGAGCGTCAAAATTGCTCTTCAGAAAATCAATGGGTGATGTCACAGTTTTTATATACAGTCAATGGTAAAACTACATCAGCCTCCTAATTGTAATTCATAGTTGGACACACTGGGAATTTCTGACATGCACTGTCAACAACATAGTGGCTGTAAGGTCACCATGACTGGCAGTTATAACTAAATAGAATCCAATATTTACAATAATACTGTAAATTCAGCTGTTTTTAAAGGAGCTATTCTTTGTTTATATCGGGTTAAAAAGCTTACACAAATATGTAACAAAAGAAAAATGACAAATTTAGACCAACAGTGCAGGTAACCATCTTAGAATAATGCAGAAAGTTTTTTCTGTGCTTCTCATTCTGCCTACATTTCATGAATACACCATAACTGCGACATTTCAGACTACATTCAGTCTGTTTCATTGCTACAGTCAGTGGATTTTCTTGAGAATCCTTAGTGAACAATACCTGGGAGTCACAAATAGAAGAAGCTGTTGTATTAACTGTGTTGCACCTTATAGTTTCATATAGCCACTCTACTGGAGTGTACTGTAAACTAACCTCTCAGCAAAACGGAGCAAGTTTTGCAGTCCATCTTGAGGCTGGAGGACAAGGTACAGCACTTTTGCTGAATAATGAAAAATATTCCAACAAATAGATTATTTGCGAACATTCTCACAGGAGTCCACCTTGTTCCTCAATGTAGGAGTATACTCCACCTGTATTTTTGAATATCTTAACAACACACACACACACACACACATTTTCTTTAATTTTTTTTTCATTTCAGTTGGTTCTTCTTAAACTGTTAGTCTTCTTGCAGTGACAGTTGCTGGATTAATTAGCCACAGTCCAAAGGGAGTGTTCCTCCTCCATGTACATGGCACAGTGATGTCGTCTACTTTCTGAATGCATTGCTGCTACCAGGAGAATAGCTGCTACTTGAATCAAGGTAATAAAGACAAGAGGAAGGGTTGTGTTTCCCTCCCTCTGTTCCTTGATTGTGGCATTTTGTCCCATTAAGAAAAACCTCCCCTGATAAGAGGAGGGGACCGCTTGGTCGCCTCTATGTAACTTTATTTTTTGCGTTCTTTCACTCATGGTCTGTCTGCATCTGTCTCCATCTCTGTCTTCTTAGTGACTGGGTGGCCAAAGCTGCACAAAGGATTATCATGTGGACCTGCCACCTCCAGCCTGTGTGTCTGTCTTTCTGTGTCTTTGTTTACCCTCCTTATTATAATGGAAAAGCACTGGCTTTGTCGGACCACAGTTAATTGCAAATAATTATCGTGATGGCATTTAATTTTACTAATTGTCGTCTTCTGGACGGCTGGACGCTAATCCCTTCCTCTTCTGCTCTGGATACAAAGTGTGTGTGTGTGTGTGTGTGTGTGTGTGTGTGTGTGTGTGTGTGTGTGTGCTGACGTTGCCAGCTATTCCCTCCTCGTTTATTATTTGAATGACAGTTTGCATGATCCCAAACTGTAACTTAAACCTCTCCTGTGCCTCTTCAAGGTAAGAGCAGTTAAAGTTCAGAGTTGACTGGTTCGAATACTACAGTACCAGGTACTCCCCTTAATACCATAAAAAGCTTCCCATGATGAAATAAGATTCAAATGATTAGATAATTGGATAGAAAATGTACTATTACAAGGGTATGCAGAGTACAAGATTTCTTACAAATTGCTCATGCTATTTAACTACAAATATTGACTTCCCAGATAATTTCCAAAGATTAGTGTCCCAAGGGAAGTGGCAACAACTGTGACACAGGTTTTCCCTCTAAATGTAGATGGGACTGTCAGATCAGAGCTAGTAATGGTCACATCCACATTTTGCCAGTCTGATTTGATATTTTACATGATATGGTACAAAAATAACATTTAATTAAAACATTTGAGGTTTTTTTACATCCCATCTACCACCTCTTCACACCAAATGTCTCCTTTTCTTCTCAATAAATTTGTTATTGAAAACTGTGTCCTGTGTCAACCACCTAAAATAATGCCACAGTAAGGGTAGCCTTCGTCTCTACTTCTCGTCTCGTCCATCCGTGATCTTGCTTCAGATTATGCAGAGAAGTATTGGATGAAATTTCCTCGTGTGGCTCAGGCAGACGCAGGTCAGCTGTTCTAACCATAATATATTTCAGACTCCAAAGGCCATGAGATGTTAGATCACCTTACCCCTACCCATGTGCCTGTACCTGGTTGTGTCTTTTCGGTAACAAACTGTAACCTGCTTCCCATTTCATTTCCCCGAGGGCTGATTGGATTTGCGATGGTCGTGCCTTCTCGCAGCAGCTCGTCTCTGACAGAGCAGCAATCTCTTTAACACCAAGTGATAGATATGATAATGTACACTAGCTTTATTGTCAAGTGACAGAAGGGCAGCACAACACACATGCGCCATATGTGCACAGTCCCTTTCTGTTCCTTCAGTGCCCCCCTTGTCTAGAGGGGACCCCAGTACTTGCCAAGCGTCTCAGGGCACCAGCTCTGTCTTTTAATCTTTAAATACTTTAATAACACCTTTCTATTTTAGTTCATATGCTTTGAAAAGTTGAAACCATGTGCCACAGGGTTGAAATTTATTGTTGTCTTTATTTTTAGAACAACTATTGTTCCACTTTTGTTTCTCTGTGGCCTCAAATAGCAAAGATAAAAAGAACATAAGGGAAATCGGTGATCAACAATGTTTGACAAATACCCATATTTAAGAGATCATAACCCTTAACCATGAAAATCAAGCATCTTGTATGATAGAAAATCACCAGCACGTGACAGGGTGCTACTAAGCGATTCTCTGACAGTTATGGGTAATAGGCTAATATTTTCTGCTTCATTTCGCAGTCTGTCATATCAAGTGTCATGGTTGTTCCTGACATCAGCACAAAAGATGCACGTAACAGTTTAGCTGCACCTTTAAATGACAGCGAGGATTTCATCTCATGAGTTCAGTGGTCTGTTTTTTTAATGCTCTTTATGAAATCAATATATTGGCGAAGGAGAAGTTCTTAATGTGGGCTGGCTTACCAGGTACTTAATTTCCTTGCAGTAATTAAGGGCCTATTTGGAGTGGGGCCTGGTCACTCTTTCTGCCCTGGAGGACTGGGATTGGTCTAATTAACTAATTTGAGTACAGCTGATTGGGCAGTAAGTAACATAATCACAGCTGATTGGTCAGTAACCTGTAGGTCAGCAGGGCAGGCTGAGAAGAACATTTGGCACTGGTTCTTCCAAGATAAAAGCTCTGTGGAGCTGAGCTGCAGGCTTCATGGTGGAATACAGGACTAAAACCTGTAGGTTATTTGATTGTTTCTACATGGCCTCTTGATAGGGCTATTTATTGAACCTCAGTACTGCTGACCAAAGTATGTCTGTAGTCTTCCAGCATCTCAAATATTCATTCTTTGCTGTTCTCTTTGTCATCTCTGATAGTAAACGAAATATTGCTGGACTGTGGAGAGTTTGAGGGGTGGCATGATGGTGCAGTGGCTAGCACTGTCACAGCAAGAAGGTTCTGGGATCAAATCCTGACCGGGGCAGGTCTGTGTGCAGTTTGCATGTTCTCCCTGTGCCTGTGTGGGTTTTCTCCAGGTACTCCAGCTTCCTCCTGCAGCTTAGGTTGACTGGTGACTCTAAATTGCCTGTAGATGTGAGTGGTTGTCTGTTTCTGTTTGTTTGCCCTGTGATAGACTGGCGACCTGTCCAGGGTGTACCCCACCTCTCAATCAGCAGTTCCGGTTGGGATAGGCTCCAGCCCCCTGTAACCCTCTACACGATAAGCAGTATTGATAATGGAAACATAGTTGGACAAAAGCAACAAGCAATTTAAAAATGTAAACTTGGGCATTTTTCACTAAACAATTCAATGTGTAAAATAAAAGGCACATTTATCAATAATGGAAGTATTAGTTGAAGTTCTGATGCTATTGAATGTTAACATCTTTGTAGGATCTGGTTGATCAGATCTTTTCTGATTAACTTACCAATTTTATAGTATTTTATTTAGTTAAAATAAAAGATGCACTCATGATACACTTAAATTCAAGCTCTGTTCAATCACAACATCAACCTGATGTTTTTATGACTCTCTTTCAAACAACAGTGGATCTAATTTTGGAAAAGTTCTTGTATGCTTGATTAAAACACCATAAAGTGTGCTGTCACTGCTTTGATTTGATGCATAAGAATTAATTAAATGTACTGATGTGAGTCTCCCAGTGTGTTGTAAATCACTCTTAATTTTTGTCACTACATGATGAGGCCTTTTTATGAAGGCTAAACAGAAGGTAATCTTTTAAAAGTACAGCTGGAAAAATCTGTTAAAGTGTTAGATTTTAGTATTATACCAAAACTAATATATCATTGTCAGATCACAATTAAAACATTTCAAACAGTACCTGCTGTAATAGTTTTTTTTTTTTTTTGTGCCGCTATCAGTTCATTTTAACCACTTGCACTGTTCATAAACTTGTCTTGCTACCATATCCACAACAGATACACACGAACCAGGAATATAGTATGTGTTTGGATCACAGAGTGAAGTGTCTGACGTGTGCCGCTCTCTTGTCCTGTGTGCACAGTGTATTCTGGGATCTGTACTGCGCTGCCCCGGACCGGAGGGAGACATGCGAACATTCCAGCGAGGCCAAGGCTTTCCATGACTATGTGAGTGAACTTAACCAACCCTCGGGTTGTGCACAAACATACATGCAGCCACCGCTTGGAAAGTCAGAAACACACATTCACACATGCTTGTGAGCACACACAAGCAAAGGCAGAGTGTGCATCAGAGAGAAGAGACTGCTCTGACTGTGATAATGCAGCTGGTTCTTGTTTTGATTTGTCTGCGTTTCTGGTCTGTCTGCTGCAGCCTCTGTTCTGGATGGGACAGACTCTTAGCCAGATGTCTGAAATAGTATGCTTTTAAAAATGCAGCACCTCTGAACATCATTTCTGTATTTTATGGGAAAGCCCTTAGACTTGCATCTTTGATTAAATCTTTGAAAGGCTAATAGGGAGTCCTCATGCCATTCTGCTGTATTTCCCATGATCTCCATTAGATATCAGCTTTCTAACATCTGCCTAAACAGCATAATGCTGTAGCTCAGCTGCTGGTCGCACTTCCTCAAACACTGACCCCTGACCCCTCGGGTCCTAGTGAAACTGTCGTGAGGTGAAAGGTTGCTCCAGTGCCTGGCAATTTATTGGTCAAGTCACAGCTTCAGTAAAGGTCACAGCACATAAAGCAGCTGGCTGATAACACAAAAACATTAACACACACATGCACACATAGCATATATATACACACAGAACCCATTTATACCTGCACAGGATTTGCTGGTTGAGGCCACAGGGGCTGGCCTGGCTGATGAAAGGTCAGTGTCTGCAGCCCTGTGACCCTCTCATCTTCTGTGAAGTTGGAGCTGTCGATCAGTAACCTATCGAACACGCACACAATTTTGAAGAGCTGGGTGATGTGGGAGTGGGCTGTCTAGAGATAAAAGCCTTTGTCGTTTCTGCTCTCATTACTGCAAATGACCATTTTGATCTGATTGTGGTGGTGCAGAATTTACCTTCTCACGTTCTGTTTTACTATGGTTTTCTATACATTACCTTGAATGTCCTCCTTTTTTGCCTCGTCCACTCTACATTAAATATTTGCATTATGTTGCTCGGGGATTACAAGGGCGTTAGGGTGCTGACAGGACAGTCTGCTTATTGTTCCACCTGAGCAGAAGTGAAACCTGAAATGGATTAGCTGTGCTATTCTTACCATACACATTTCATTCAGGCTGTTTTAGCCCGTAGCCAGTCGCCCATTCAGTTGAACTCTCTTATGAGGTTTGACAGCAAAAGTGTGAGTACTTGTTAGCTGAACAGATTACATTTGTTGTGCATGTACTGTGCATGTGTGCATGTGGGCACGGCTTGACGTGTGTGTGTCTCTGCACCTGTCTGTGTGTGTGTGCATGTGTTGGACTACCATAAGATTAATTACATGGTTAATTAAACCTAGTAGTTAATTAAATCTGACAACTGTGTCTAATTAATCTAAATGCCCTATAATTTCCTACACCTTTCCTCAGAGGTAGGCCAGCTGGATACCTGCGTGTCAGCTCTTTAACGGCTCCGTTTTGACAGGCTTGGTCAATATATGACTGAACGTCGAGCTTTTCTGTCACTGGAAAAATCCACGTGTTTCAGTCTGTGGCTACTTAAATCAGTGAGCTCAGGGTCAGGCTCAGTAACCACAGAGGAAAAAACTGAAATGTACACTTAAACTGTACTTAAACTGGAGTGGAGAACTTGAAATATAGGAGCAGTGGAGAAGCTGTGAGGTTTTTGAGCTCATTTTAACTGACAAACAAAACTTTGTTGTAGTTCAAGGATTCAGACAGTGTCACCTGACCTTTGACTTGGCTCATGTTCAGAAGGTCGGAGTGTGTGAGCTGTCTGATTGAGAGGGCTGATTTGTTGCAGAAAAACATTCATGCATGAATTAGTTGTTACCCTCTAACTCCTTAAGATGCAAGTTATAATTTTTTTTATGCAGTGTTCAGTTTTCCAGCTCTTCACTGAAGCTTTATATATATGCTGAGTGAAATATTCAAAACCAAAACTCCATGATGTTCCTGTTTCATAATTTTATGAAAGGGAAATTTTCTAGATGTAATTTGTTACACGATTCCCTAAAAATCAGACTCATATTTGGTCTCTGGAAAAATGTGGGATCTTCACTAGAATTTAAGATAAAGTTATGCATCTCTAAAAAGTACTTGGCTGCACAGTGGTAGCTGGTAATGACTGACCCCAGAGGCTTCTGCTTTTTATTAATGTTTTTTTATAGTAAATTGTGCTTGCTTTGATTTGGTCTATGAAAGTTTAGGTTTAATCCAAAGCAATAGTCAGGGTGCGTGTGTGAACAGAAGCTGTGGCAGAGGCTGAGACAATGGTAACATCCAGGAGTAGGTGTGAGCGAGCACATGTACTTTTGTGACTGTGTGTATGTCTTTGTGCATTTGTGTGACAGAGAGGGAGAGAGAGTGTCAGGGTCAAAGCGTGCGAATCCCCAGGGTGATAAGAGGTCTGTCTGTCTCTGATTAACTCTGGCTCCCTGGTCCCCGCAGACCGACGGCCTGATCAAGTCTCTATCACGGCCCCTTGCTGATAACGGCTCCCTCATTCCCCCGAGTCGCCCCGGATCACAGAGTGAAAAACAACACGGCTCCCAGGAGTCGCACACACTCTGCTCTGTGTGTCACTCAGCAGGACCAGGATTGGTTTGCTTTTATTTATGTTTTGTTTCTTTTTGTAATTTAGGGTCCTCTCTACTCACTCTGCTGTCATGTTATTAGGATAGCAATGAGAAAATGTCAGTTCTGTAAAATTTATATTTAGAAATACAGTTTGCATATTTGTTTCCTGGAACGAATTTGGTTGCTAGGCAACATTGAACCGGAGCAGAGTCTTAGTTACAGATTTGGTTTGGCTTAGCTCTGTTTGGCTCAATTTGGCCCAGTCTGAAGGCACCTCTTACTCAGCTGTGTCCTGTTGGCCCCCATTGAGAGCAACGATGTAGACTTTGTGGACTCTCCAGTTTTGGAAAGATAATGGAATATAATATGTTAATCCTCAGATGATAGGGACTGGTTGACAGATAATCCAGGGGAATGTGGTGGGATTGGAGCCCTGGCCTCACTCCCAGAACTGGAGACCTCTGACAAGCTGGATTGTGCCACAGCTTCGTCCCTGGATGGTGACTCTGCTATCATAGCCACTCGAGCTCAAACACTTTTGCATGCAGGCACGCTTGTGTGCATTTCACACACCCACACTCATATGCAAATAAATACACACTCTGAAAGTTAGCGAGATACTGCTGTATCATAAAGAGCTGCAACAGCTTGAAGTCTTGTACCCCTGTAAAGTGGTCTCTCTTGTCATTTTAATTGTGGAAGTTTTGTTACTGTTCCTCCTCTTCAAACTGCCTTTTAATCATGTTTATTTCCTAAAAGAGATCTGCACATCTTATAGTCCTCTCTTCTGCTGGAATTTGGATGTTCTTCAAAAGAGCACTTTGTTGGGGAAACATGTTTGATTATAAGAACATGGCACGTTTTTAGAAACTCTGTGTGAATGATTAAAGGACAGGAGCTTTGTGATTAAAAAAAAAAGCAAACATATTGACAAGTGAGCAGGCACGCACACACATGCATGCACACACAATCTTGCTCACATTAAAGGGACAGAAGAAGAATGAGTCTCTGTTTTCTCCGCCCCTGACACACACATGCACGCACTTGCAATCACAGACAAACAGTCTTTCAGGAAGTGATACACTCAGCCTTCTTGTTACAGACATTTTGCTTTGCCCCAGCCAGAGGTCACAACCCCAAACATTTGCAATTCATGCCAATCTGGGTTCACTGCCTGCGGAGTGTCACAGATTTAGTGCCACAAGTGCGTCATTGACATCGCAATGCTTCACCGGCTCGACTCAGCTCTTTGTCATGATGAGGGCTGGGATGGAGTCAAATACAGGCCTCTGATATTTTCTTTCGAAAGTCACGCCTCATCCAAAACTAGACCACATTTTAAAAAACGAATGCATCTGAGAATTTTGTCCTGGTATGAAATGAATTGGTTTAGCAAAAGATTTGTCAATTGCCATCAAAATGAGCCATTTTGATATCACTTAAGTAAAAATGCCAACCTATGGTCAGGGAAGGCCTTTATTGCATCTCTGTCTCTGACTCTCACCTTCTTTCCTGTGTCTCTCTACATGTGACAGATAAATAAAAAAATGCAAAAATATCAAAAACACACTATTAAAATTTAAGAAACCAAAGGTGGACCATCAGTGGACCGTTTCATTATTATTATTAATCATTATTATTATTTTCATTATAAAATAATAAAAGGTTTTATAAAATGCCTGAAAATACTGAATATACGGTAACTATCAGAATTTCCCAGACTGAGGTGATGTCTTTTGTATGTCTTTATTTATATTTGTATGAACGTCACTCCAAAACCAAATAATATTCAATTTATATATTTTAATTTATCATATATGACAACAAAAATTATCAGATTCTCACATATGGGAAGCTGATAGAAGCAACTGTTTAGAATTTTTGCTTGAAAATTTGTTCAAATCATTTGATTATCAAAATATGTGCCGATTATATTTAGATTCATCTGCTAATCAGTAAACCGACGGATAATTATAACTTTACATCACTTAATCTACATAAAAACATAATGAAGATGTGTTTGTTGCAGCCCGAAACTGATCTGTTCCCAGCATGCAGTGCACACACTGTAGATAGATGGAGGCGCACTGGTGGCTGTTGCCTGGGGATTCTTTGAGAGGGTTAAACATTTGTTCGGCTGGACCACAGTAACAGGTGGCACAAGGGGAGGAGCTGCACTCTGTAAACAATCGTTGATGACCAAGCCTTTGTCTGGACTTTGTGTTTTTTCCATCGCCACAACTCCCTGTGTTGCCGTACCAGGTGCTCTCTTGCCTAATTTTAATGCCATGCGTTTGCTGTAACCCTTGTTTCCCTTTCATTGCCGTCTTTGTCTCTGTCCCTTTTTTCAAAGCTGGGATTTACTTGTCGTGCACCATTTTTCCTGCTTCAATTCCTCACAGGTCTTTT